TTTTGGTTTTTTAATGTGTTGTGACCTCCACACCAAAATTCCCCCGAGCGGGAGGACTTTGCGGGGAATTCTGGGAGTTGAAGTCCACATGTCTTCAAGTTGCCAAGGTTGAGAAACACTGGTCTATGCCTTCACACAACCCCCTTGGTGAAAATTTTGGCCATGACCACTCTGATAAAGGCATGACATCAGTGCTACATGCCCTGCAGTCCTCAGAGGCCAAAATAAAGATGTAGATTTTAAAAGTGCATCCTTCTATTCTTATGCCTTACTGATAAAAGAGGGAGATCAATCTAATAGACAAACAAGCAAAGGCAAAATGCATATAATTGAAGTAATCATATATTTCACCCACCCACCCCTTAGCCATTTCTTCTTTCTTCTAAGGCAGTGATTCCCAACTTGGATAACTTTAAGATGTGTGGATTTCAGCTCCCAGAATTCCTAGCAATGGCCATGCTGGCTGGGGAGTTCTGGGAGTTGAAGTCCACACATCTCAAAGTTGCCTAGGTTGTGAAACACTGTTCTAAAGCATTTCAAACTGTAAATGTTTTGGAATAGAAACCTGTCGGACTTGTTCTTTAGTATTATGCATCTAAAAGACTCTATATGACCACACTGTTTAATTATTATTATAATAATTACAATCATACTGACTTGAATGCTTCTAATCTCTTAATAATCCATATTCCCTAGCAGGATAAAATAAATCAAGCTGCCCCTTTTTTCACATGTACCACATGCACAATGCACAGAAAAACGGATGGGATTTCAATAGTATGGTGGCAACCACCATTTTGACTTTTTGGGCCATACCTGCAGACACCGTTATTGCCTACATCAACATTAAAAGGCACCCTGAGATTCCACAGGGAGATGCAGTATTCATGAGACATCCACATTCCAATTCTGTTGTTTTTTTTCATTTTGGACCCTCCAATCTCCAATGGCATCAGCAAATTCCAGTTTCCCAGTATTTTCAGATAAGGAAGATACAAACTGCTGTGTAAATCTAAAATAGACTCCGCTTGGTTTAAAAAGCATCAGGGAGAGGGGGGATCTGGAAAGTTCCAGCTTGGCCCATAGGCGTGAAGTCCCTCTTTTGCATCATCGCCCCTCACAAGTCAGTTAGCCCTCCGAAAATTCATTAAGCGTGGCCGTCAGCTACCAAAAAGGTGCCTGTTGCTGCTCCAGGTGCTTTGGTTATCCTTTGCAGAGCAAAAGCATGAATGAATGGCTTGGCTCTTAGGGTTTTAGTTCAGTCCGGAGACTCATACTGTCTATCCCATTTGGATTAACGCCCAAGATATTCTATCCTTGCTTTGGGATATGAATGGTCACTAGACACTCCTCCCAGCTGAAGCCTCAGAACCTCTGGGAACTTTGGAAGGAGGAATTGGCAACGGAAACCAGCCCTGAGAAAATTGAAATGCTGTCCTCTTGTCTTCCCTGAATTTTACCAAGGGCTCTGTAGCCTCATGTTCCTAATGAGAAAATCCAAACCAGTGCTTTTCTCTGGCAAGAAAACCGCAGCAAATATTTTTATCTGAGAAACCACCCCGTGTGCATGAACTGAGATAGGAATTGAATGGGGGCCTATTTGTTAAAAACAGGAGCACACTGGGGTACTATCGGGAGTATTTACCAGCCTTTAGCTAACACTTCAGACAGGTCTGTTAGCCTATTTTAAAAAAAAAAATCTGGAATGAACAAAATAGGAAAAGTTCTTGCACTTGAAAAAACTGAACTTGCAAAACTGTGAGCAAACGTTGGTGTTCTCCATCAAGCGTCTTCAGAAGAAGGGTGATCATCTTAAACCTTCTCCAGGAAATAGCTTATTTCGCTGTATAATTCCCAGAATTCGCTGCAGTATTATTCCCAGAATTCCCAGCTACAATGGCCATTGCTGTGGAAAAATGGGAAGACGAATTGTCTAAAGAACTTTACTATATTGGTAATAGCACTCTTATTTTTCTACTCGTTTTTTCTACTGATTAGCTGGGGAAGGGAAGCTTAATCTTGTGTGAGTGTTACAGTGGACAGTGTAATTCTCCGAAAGAAATAGTTAAATTTGATTATTGGGGGAAAAATTAAAGGCTGTCTATCTACTGAAGTCCAGAATTGTAATGATATTCTCAGGAGACCATCAGTGGCCAGTACAAGGTATGACTCTAGACCAGATAATTTCACACTGCTAAATCTACCTAGTGTGATGGCTTTACAGATAAAATGGGATGGATCTTCTGACAGCCACCCTCAACTTCTTGAAAAAGATGGGGTCCAAACATAATGAAAACAGCAGGCCAAACTCCAGGGAAAGTAGCTACTGAGCTGAATCTTCTGACTTTCGATTTTATTTGTGTTGACCGTTAAAGCCTCACTACATCTGTTTTGCTGCTAAGAAAACTGCTGTGTGTTCAGGAAGTCACTAAGAGTTGAGCTTGATTTGAAAAAGACTTTACCTTTCACTTCTAAATAAGCAAAGGGGAAACTGTTTATTGGAGGTTCGTATCTGACAAACCTCCAATAAACTCCAGTAAACAGATACAACACCCATTTGACGAATCGTTAATTAATTGACTTGTATTTCAGAACCTGGCAGTAGGCTCGAAAGCAGTAGGATCTTTACAACTGACCTACATCTCTAAGGTAAGGTTAAAACAGAGCTTTGCACCCCCCGCCCCCCTGTACGTATTGTTAGTCCTGATTGTTTCCCTGAGTTTCTGGTCCTCATAATTCTTGTTCTTTTTTTAAGGGTTCCACCTCTCTGCCTCATAAATAACGAGTATATAACTTAATAAGGAGAAAGACTAGCCAGGATGGATAGGTGACATGTCTCATGAGCCCAGGCCATTTCTTTTCTGACATGGAGCTGAGTAAGCATTAAGCAGCAGTAGGAAAAGTGCAGCTCATGAAAGCATATGCTTTTTAATAAAACATATTAGTTGGAAAAGGTGATTTTTGGTTACCATAGTCCAGTGTTGCTCAACCTTGGCAGCTTGAAGATGTGTGGACTTCAACTCCCAGAATTCCCCAGCCAGCCTGGGAGTTGAAGTCCACACAT